GTATGGATATAAACGTTGGTCAATTCATGCAGTCAGCGCCTTGACGTCATTTCGCTTTTTTTTTTTGGTTAAGTTTCTTTTTTTTTGGATTCACTCCCCTTGTTGTTGCTACTAGAGTGATTCTTCTTTTCTCGCGGCTCCAACAAGATGGCGCTGATTGTTTTGTTCTTGCTGACGACACTTGTCCCCCTGAAGAAAGCGAACGTCGCAATCCAAACAGATCTTAAACGTGAGGCAAGGGTTAACTTAAACAAAGAATTCGCCAACAACCGCTTATTTCGGGACCACCTCAACCCTACTGCCCCAGGAGAAACTGTCGCGGTGGACATCGCAGTTACTTTGTTAGATGTGAGTTTTTTTGTTTTTTTTTATTTAAAAAAAAAAAAAAAATTCAACCCAGCATTAATTTTTTTTAAAAAATTGATCGGAGGGAGGGGGGAGGTGATTTTTTTTTTTTCAACCTGAAAACGCTGCATTATACATTTGCCATTTACAATCGAAATAAGAAAAAGGAAGTTTCTAAAACTTGATTTCAAATGTTATCTGTACAAATTGTATGTGCTTATCATTTATAACCTATAAAGTTAAAAATGTACTTTTAAAGAGAAACCAAAGCATGTTGTAGATTCGGAATTTATGTAAAAAGTGCACATTATTAAAATAACGACCAATGTTAGGGGGTGGTGATCTGTGTTTCTTTCAGTTTCTCTCCCGGGGGGAGTGGGGGGGGGGGCGACACCAATGTTCCCTCTGAGGTTTACTGGTTCGTGTGCAAAATCATACAGTTGTGTGCAAAGTTTTACAGCCTCAATTTTTTTTGTGTGCAAATTTTGGGGGGGGGGGGGGGGGGGGGGGGCGACACCAATGTTCCCTCTGAGGTTTGCTGGTTCGTGTGCAAAATCATACAGTTGTGTGCAAAGTTTTACAGCATTAATTTTTTTTTTGTGCAAAATTTTACAGCCCACAAACACAAACACTCACTTAAATGGAAATTTGATGCGCGGATACTCAAAACTGCTGCGCGGCGTCTGTGAGATAGCTGCGCGGCCGCGCAGCCACACAGCTTAAAGGGAACATTGGACGACACCCCCTTGAGAAAGTTAACTGATCCCCCCCCCCCCACGAGAAAAGTTTGTAGAACAATAAAACGAAAATTTAATTATTTAAAAAACAAAAAAAACAACCTCTAATTTTTTTATGTCTCTTTTAAAAAGAGAGGTAAGGATGACTATGAAAAGTAGTCCATAGCGTCATTGAGGGACCAATGAACTATCCCTACACCCGATAGATTTGATGATCCGAATAGTTGCGGCAAGATTCGAGCCTAAATGCCGTAACGTTCCAAAACTAGGCCACTCCCGATAGTAAGCAGCACGTCGACGTTGGTTGTAATTGTATGATATGATGGTGGTTATTTTATTCTTGCATTTTGGTATGTTGATGTTTGTCATGCCCTGTTAGTTTAGGACACTTGCATAGTTTAACACTAATTGGGGGCGACGACCCCCCGCCCCCCCCTTTTTTTCCCCCACCCCAGGATGGCTTGGATGAAACGGTCATCAAATAATCGGTCCTTCCACTGCAATGTCTACGTTTGACCGTTTGGCGACCGAGGATTGATTGATTGATTGATTGATTGATTGATTGATTGATTGGATATTTATATAGCGCTGGTATCCATGCTACGCATTAACATGCTCACTGCGCTCTGGTGTTCTTAAATCTATTTAATTTAAACAAAAAAGTCTTTAAATTTTTCTTAAATGATTTTTTTTATCATTTTCTAATCGCCCTAACCTTAAAGATTGAGGCAAACTGTTCCAGAATGTAGGCGCTATCGCTTCAAACTGTTCATGAAAGGCACCTAGAAGAACATTTGTTCTTAACTTTGTAAAGCGATGTGCAAGTTTTCTCAACCTTATGGACATTCTACCCACGTTGATTGCCACGGATTGTTAATGTCGATTGCTGCAGATTGTTAATGTTGATTGCTATATATTATTAATGTTGATTGCCATAGGTTGTTAATGTTGATCGCTATAGATTGTAAATGTTGATTTTTATAGATTGACCATGTTGATTGTTTTAGCTTGCCGATCGTTGATTGTTGTAGATTGCTAATGTTGATTGCTTTAGCTTGCCGATTGTTGACTGCTAGGGATTGTTAACGTTGATTGCTATAGATTGTCAAAGTCGATGGCTTTAGCTTGCTGATTGTTGATTGTTGTAGATTGTTGAAATCGTAGACTCCGAGCAGACGATTGAGACAAACTTGTATTTCCACTGCAGCTACAAGGACGGGGCGCTGGCCTGGTCTAGTGAAGACTTCGGCAACATCACGAGCATTCGGTTGCCCGGAGAATTGTAAGTTTCTCCCTGTCTCTGTCTCTCTCCCTGTCTCTCTTTCTCTGTCTCCATTTCTCTGTCTCCCTTCCTCTGTCTCTCTTTCTCTGTCTCTCTTTCTCTGTCTCTCTTTCTCTGTCTCTCTTTCTCTGTCTCCATTTCTCTGTCTCCCTTCCTCTGTCTCTCTTTCTCTGTCTCACTTTCTCTGTCTCTCTTTCTCTGTCTCTCTTTCTCTGTCTCTATTTCTCTGTCTCCCTTTACTCTGTCTCTATTTCTCTGTCTCCCTTTCTCTGTCTCACTTTCTCTGTCTCTCTTTCTCTGTCTCTCTTTCTCTGTCTCTCTTTCTCTGTCTCTATTTCTCTGTCTCACTTTCTCTGTCTCTATTTCTCTGTCTCACTTTCTCTGTCTCTATTTCTCTGTCTCACTTTCTCTGTCTCTCTTTCTCTGTCTCTCTTTCTCTGTCTCTATTTCTCTGTCTCCCTTTACTCTGTCTCTCTTTCTCTGTCTCTCTTTCTCTGTCTCTATTTCTCTGTCTCTCTTTCTCTGTCTCTCTTTCTCTGTCTCTCTTTCTCTGTCTCACTTTCTCTGTCTCTCTTTCTCTGTCTCACTTTCTCTGTCTCACTTTCTCTGTCTCTATTTCTCTGTCTCTCTTTCTCTGTCTCTCTTTCTCTGTCTCTATTTCTCTGTCTCTATTTCTCTGTCTCTCTTTCTCTGTCTCACTTTCTCTGTCTCTCTTTCTCTGTCTCACTTTCTCTGCCTCTCTTTCTCTGTCTCACTTTCTCTGTCTCACTTTCTCTGTCTCTATTTCTCTGTCTCTCTTTCTCTGTCTCTCTTTCTCTGTCTCTCTTTCTCTGTCTCTCTTTCTCTGTCTCTCTTTCTCTGTCTCTCTTTCTCTGTCTCTCTTTCTCTGTCTCTCTTTCTCTGTCTCTCTTTCTCTGTCTCACTTTCTCTGTCTCTCTTTCTCTGTCTCACTTTCTCTGTCTCACTTTCTCTGTCTCTATTTCTCTGTCTCTCTTTCTCTGTCTCTATTTCTCTGTCTCTCTTTCTCTGTCTCTATTTCTCTGTCTCTATTTCTCTGTCTCTCTTTCTCTGTCTCTATTTCTCTGTCTCTCTTTCTCTGTCTCTCTTTCTCTGTCTCTATTTCTCTGTCTCTATTTCTCTGTCTCTATTTCTCTGTCTCTCTTTCTCTGTCTCACTTTCTCTGTCTCTATTTCTCTGTCTCTCTTTCTCTGTCTCTCTTTCTCTGTCTCTATTTCTCTGTCTCTATTTCTCTGTCTCCCTTTACTCTGTCTCCCTTTCTCTGTCTCTCTTTTTCACTCTCTCTTTCTCTCTCTCTCTCTCTTTCTCTGTCTCTCTTTCTCTCTCTCTCTCTCTTTCAATTTCTCTCTCTCTCTCTTTCTCTGTCTCATTTGTGTTCAATAACATAATAAATGATTGAATGATCACCAAGACTTTCTCTCTCCCACCACCGCCACTTCTTTTGTTTAAATATTCGTTGTGTTCAATTTTGACTCTCCCTCCTACGAAGATCACAACAATGGTTGCACAAAATGATCTAATCAACCCCCCCCCCCCCCCCCCCCCTTCTCCCTGTCTCTGTCTCTCTCCCTGTCTCTCTTTCTCTGTCTCCATCTCTCTGTCTCCCTTCCTCTGTCTCTCTTTCTCTGTCTCTCTTTCTCTGTCTCTCTTTCTCTGTCTCCCTTTACTCTGTCTCACTTTCTCTGTCTCTCTTTTTCACTCTCTCTTTCTCTCTCTCTCTCTCTTTCTCTGTCTCTCTTTCTCTCTCTCTCTCTTTCTCTGTCTCTCTTTCTCTCTCTCTCTCTTTCAATTTCTCTCTCTCTCTCTCTTTCTCTCTCTCATTTGTGTTCAATAACATAATAAATGGTTGAATGATCACCAAGACTTTCTCTCTCCCACCACCGCCACTTCTTTTGTTTAAATATTCGTTGTGTTCAATTTTGACTCTCCCTCCTACGAAGATCACAACAATGGTTGCATAAAATGATCTAATCAACCCCCCCCCCCACCCACACCCACCAATGTTTTGCCTTTCATTTTCCCCCACAATATCCAGTCATCATTTGCTTCTATTTTCCTGGAATCTATTTGTAAATATAATCTATACTCTCTATATCAATGTGTTGTAGTTTTTTTAGTTTCATTTGAAACATAGGCCATCGACATAAGATGCTTTGCCGTGTTCGTATAACAACTAGGGTGACATTTTAAAAGTACTGTCCATTTCAAGCAAGGTTAAAATAGAAATGTATACGTAGAATCGGAAAGGACTTTATAAATTAGTTTCTGTACTAGTTCAGAACTGTGTTTGTTAGGTTTCCTAGCTTTAAGAACAACTCTCAAAGTGTTAATATTTTTGCTGTTTAAATCAACAACAAGGTTTTACTCATAAAATAAATACACTTTTTAGTATTTTCTTGTTAACTTGAGAAAATTATCAACATAACATCTAAAAATATAAATTATTTTTTATCATTAATCAATTGAATATCTAGTGTATTGTGTTATTTTGCTTACTTTAGAAGGCTTTTAGCATAAACGTTGAGCATTTTCTTTTGTCTTTAAAAAAAAAAAGAATTCTTCCCTCTTCTGGGACCACAATCAAATTAAACTGAGTAAATACTGACGTATGTTTCAGGGTTTGGCGACCTTTTCTGTCCTTCATATCATCAGCCCACAACGACGGCAACAAGAACTTTGACCCCGACTACGTCATCGTGGACAGCACCGGCTCCGTCAGCTACATGCTTTCGGCCACAGCGGTCACCGTCTGCAACTTTGACCTCCTCTACTTTCCCGTCGACCGGCAGAACTGCTACATCCCCGTCGAGGTACACGGGTACGACGTCGAGGTCGAGGTCAAGGCCATGCTGAAGCCCCCTGGGCTGATTCGCGGAGAACGGGTCCTCACCTTCAACGGCGAGTGGACGACCTTGAACGTCTCGCTGAGCTGCCACGAGAGCGTCGAGGGCACCACGTACATCACGCTGGCGGTCGACATACAGAGAAAGGCGGATTATTACGTCGCGTGTGTGCTTCTGCCGATGACCGTGACCTCCATGGCGTCGCTGCTCGTCTTTTGGATCCCGCCGAGTTTTGGCGAGAAGATGACGTACCTCGGGTTTGTCCACGTCTGCACGGCACTGTACGTGTGCCTAGTTGGGTGAGTTTTGAGAGGCGTTCAAGGGAGGTCATTTGAGCAAACAGGTACCGCGGGTACCGCCTTGTTCCGAGGACTGGCCGGACTTACGTCTCCTAATGTAAGTCTTAAGAACTAGTGGCGTGGTCTAGAACTACGCATCGAGATGTTGAAAAAAAAAATACGGGTATGTGTGAACAACATTAAGTAAGGGTGCAGTTTAAAGTCGGGAATGTGAGGTTAATAATGGATTTTAAAAATCCGGTTTTTTTGGTATTCAGAACAAAAAATTCATTGTTTTCATTCTCCATATTATCGTCTGACGTCCTAAGGGCGATATAGTGGCTCTGAAAATGCCATCAACATCATTATCTGACGTCATAAAGGCGATACAGTGGCTCTACAAATGCCGTCAAGTCAAATAAAGATTTGGATTCCAAGATTGACATTAGTAGCATATTGTCTACGTTGAAATTAGCTACAGCAGCAGTGACTATTTCTTGGTGATCATCTGTACAGTTACTTTGAGCTCCAAGAAATGTTTTTTTTTGGTTCTGAACATTTTGATTTTATCCATCCCTGTGGCACTACAGCCCATGTGGGGCTTTGGCTTGCCTCATGACATCTACTCAGACCTAATTGATGCTTTTTTTGCCCCATGCTTGGATTCCCAGCTGCTATAGATCATTTTCCACATCATCCATCCATCTAAGCCTAGGTCTGCCTTTGAGCTTTTTTACTCTGGGGTTTTGGTGGTGCACGTTCTTCACTCCTCAGTCATTTGGCATTCTTTCCAAGTGTCAATTTTATTTCAGTTTAAATTTGTTTATGTTATTTAAAATTCTTGATTAATTTTTATCATGATAAAATATCGGTAACCGGTTTATGAAAATTACAAACCGGATTGCAAACCGGAAGACCGTTTTTTTTTAAAACATCCTTTCTCATTAGCGCTGTATACTCGGAACATTATGGGTATTAAAAAAATAATAATTTATCATTCTATCCTTGGGGGTGACAGCTAAACCCATTTCTCATATAAAATAATGAACATTAACCTTGTCAACAAAGAGCCAACACTTTCTTTTTAGCGTGTCGGTTCTACTATTCACAAAGCCTTCACCGAATTCCGTTAATTTTAATCTAATATTATTCCATTCTAACATCTTCTTTAGATACACTGTCCCCAAAAATTCCCCAATGTCCGGTGAAACGACTCGCATGGCGTGCTTCCTGTTATTCACGATCGCCCAAACCGCCGCAACCTCCGCGGCGACCATCTTGGTCCTGCGCAGGTATCAAGAGGAAAAGGAAAAGCTGACCTTCTCGCCCAGCAGCTCGTACAGCAACAGCGCCTCCCAGGAGTTGACCCCGTTGGACGAGGTGAAGAAGCCCGACGAGAACCACTCGAAATCTTTGTGGCGGTTCGTGCCGAAGCGAATCTCGGGCTCAGTCAAAGGGCGCGAACCGTGGAAGCTCTCCTCGGAATCTTTAGACATGTTGTTCTTCATCTCATTTCTCATGACGTCCGCGCCGTTTTATGTTTTGATATTCCTTGTATGAATCAAATAAAACCCCCGTCAGGCTATTCTCACGTGTTTGATTTGATTTTTTTAAAAGGTGTTCATTTTTGTGTACCTGTTTCTCTGCCTCTTTTATTGGTTCAGTGCTCGTTAAACTCATACTCATATATATATATATATATATATATATATATATATATATATATATATATATATATTATATATATATATATATATATATATA